GGGATCATGCAATATAGGGAATTAAAACAATATGCACGTCAATTTCAATTATAAACCATGCAGTGCAATGAAATGCAATGCATGCTAATGCCACTCCCCATTTTCATTCACAAAATCGTCACTTTCAAATGTTAATACAGCCCGCCCTTTGGTAACCCGGCGCGACACGAGAAGAGGATTGGCTATCGTCCCTAGACCTTTGGTAACCCCGCAGCGTCATCTAGGGGCCCGAATAGCTCAACCACGCTAGGGCGACTCCCTAGTCCCCTCTAGGTTATATTAACCTTCGGCCTGTTGGTAACCCCGCAGCGACCGGGTTTATCAAAACTATTTGACAAAACTCTTCTTCCAAAATTTCCCCCATTTTCATTTCAAGACAAATTCTCCCATTTCATGCATCCCAATGACATGTGCATGGATGTACATATAATCTCAATATTATGACAATAGGAAATTTGGCACAATCTAAATAAACATGTTCTCATTAGTCATTTTCAGCATGTTAACACATAATGGGCATGATAAAACAACATTTAAACATACTTTACACATGAAACAAGTCATAATCAAGCTCTTGAAAATTCTCCAGACATCATTCATACAATCATAGATACAATTAACTCCCAATTAAACATGTTTGACACAACAAGGATGTGTAATTCACAATAGAACAAGAAAGGAGTGGATTAAGATGCCCCTACCTTAAAATGAGCAAAATCCCTAGAAATGGGTTCTTAAATTCGAGTTCCCAAAGAGGACCAAAAGATGGAATTTCTAGTACTAGCACGTAGAGCTCGTCGTGCTCGTCGTTTAGCCTCAAACTGCACTTAAATCCGGCAAGAAATGAAGCTAGAATCCTGATTCAAAGTTGGCTTCCAAGAAGAGAAGAAAAATGATATGAAGTGAGAGGAAGAAAGAAATTGACGGGGAGAGAGAAAGTGAGATCCAAAAAAATGGTCTCTAGACCATTAAAAGTGAGTGGGTGGTGGTGGGACCCACCACCCTTTGACACTTTTATTTTTTTTTTATTTTTTATTTTTTACAGACATTGCATTCGTCCACTCATAGGTAAATTCTATCAGATTCGCTTCATTTTTGTCAGAATTCATCTTTAATTAGAGATTGATGTTATTATTATATGAAACCCTAGCTTTCTAAGATTTGAATATGGTTTTAAAAATTGTTTACATTTGAAAAATTATGATGAATTCGATCTTGTTTATTGCTGAGACTCTTTGTGCTTGTGTTAAATGTCAGTTGTCTACTTTCTTACTAGTTTTTTCTTTAGCATTATTTATTTTCATTAAATCATTGAATGAGCCTCGATCTGAAAAATGTGTATTTTTCTAAACTGTGCTGGGATTAATTTCACATCGGCTTGAATTATATATGTAATTTCTTGTCTTTCAGTCTTCTATTCCACATTATCAGAGTTGTATTCATGTTTTTTTTTTTCCCAAATACTAATAATCTTCATCCATGTTTTTGGAAGCTCTGTCTTATTTGTTGCATAATTAATTGTTATGTGCCTTCTTTCTCTAAGTTTTCATATAATAACTCAGGGTAGGGCTTCTGTTGTTTCTTTTGTGCTCTCATTTATTGTTTTCTTCCAAATTTTTTACTTTATTTTTCTATGTTTATAAGATTTTGGGGGAAATCATTTTTAACATGTAACACTTCACCTTCTTAAACATTGCCAAACACAAATCACCAATAAAAATGTTTACCCATGTGAATAACTAGTTAATTGATCGCATTGTTTAGTCCGGGTGAGTAGCATTGCTCAAATTTGGTTCATTTGAAAGAATTTAACCCTCAGTGTAAGATTATTACATTGTTGATACAATGGCACCTAAAAGTCCCCATCTTTTCATGCAATTTTCAAAGTCCATTGATTTGGTATTCAAATGTTCTCTTTTTATTTATTTTTCCAATGCAAAATAGTTCTTGAAAAAGTTTGTTTCCTAGAAACCAAACAGGCACATAATTTACACCCCATATGTATGAACGAATGTTTTATTATATGGCTTGGGGACAATTTATCACGTGTTGGTGGTAGGGATCGGAAAGATTCTCTCTTACGCCTGCAAAATTTTATTCTTATATCCTGAAAATTATTTTGAAATGTATTTGTGGTGCTGCATTGGTGTTAATAAGGTTGAGAAAAAGGAAAAAAAGGAAGGGGTGTTTATGGTTATTTGGATTTGACAGACTAACTCAAGACGCCTTTTGGACAGGAAAATTGCAAGGTTTGATAAGAATATCACCAAGAGAGGATCAGTTATTGAAACCACCAAGAAAGGAAACGACTATCCGGTTGGGCCCATTGTTCTTGGGAACTTTGTTTTTGTGGTCATCGGATCATGCATGCTCTTTAGACCCTGTTGACATCCTTGATTTATTCTATGCAGCTATGCTTCCTCCTTTGCCCGTTTCTTACTTTTACCATTATTCTTTTATGTTTTTTGTCCTGTATTAGTTAAAAATTCACATCACTGGAGGGAATCATGAACAATATTTGCTATAAAAGGGATTTAAAGTTTCTTGAATACTGGCTTAGGGTTGAGAAATCTATGAAAAAGGGATTTTTTAATTTTTTTTTTAAATTTTAATTCTTCTACTTTGTGCTTTTGCTTTACATTGAGATTGGAAAAGTAAAAACAGAGAAAGTGATGGTCAAAATAGAGGCGATAAACTTCTGTTTGGGATTTATGCTTAAAGTTTCAGATTCAAGTCTGCAGCATTAATTGATTTATTTTTTACTTATCAAAAAAAAAAAAATAGAGGAGATGAACTTGGTGTAGGTCATGAGAATGAGTAGCCTGGAGATTTTGAGAAAGAAAAGAAGAAAGTGTTGGTAACCTTCAACCTAAACATTTTCTAACAGTTTTGAGTGGGGACAAGTTCACAATTAGAAAATAATATACATAGAAATTTTGAATTAAAAAAAGTTCAGTGGGACACCTGCCCCGACGGGCATATATGTGGTTCCGCCATTGTTGTGATGCAAAGTTTGTGGTAGAGTTGTGACTTGGAGTCACATGCCATACTTTTTTATGTCCATTTATAGTCGTTTTTTATATTTTTCCAGTTGACGAGTGGCATGCAAACAATATTGTTCTTGTACTACTGCTACCAATTGTCTTTAATGAGTTTCTGAAATAACCTACATGTTTTATACCATTGTTGTTAAAAGAAGGGTAAAATACAGAGAGGGGAAAGGCTAAGCAGATGAAAGTTAGACTATTTTTTAACAATGACACTCCTTCAAGTTTGAAAAATGAAGAAAAAGACCCTAAAGATGGTGAATTGACCTTACTACCCTTTGATATAAAATTGACATTTAATTGGACTTAAATACCCTTGAAGTAAACCCAAACCCAAACCCGTCTGTATAAAGAACCTCTGCCCTTTTCTCTCTGTATGTATATATGTGTGTATATATATATAGATAGACACACTGCATCTTCACCACACCCAGCCGCTGCCGCCGCATCATCATTCTCAGTTCATTAACACTTGTGCAGTGGATGATGTTAGTGTAAATATATAGCTTGCTGATGTTGTGACTTGCTTTGGTCAAAATGTGAAATCAAAAATGAAGAAAATGGGTTTGACTGCAGTGGGGCAAGGTTTAGTCCCGCGAAGACAAACCCAGGTTAAGTCCCAAAAACCATATACCAGCACCACCACCACCACCACCACCATCACCATCATCCCAAACATAAGTTACATTTACAGAGGAATACAGGATATAAGTGCCCAAATAATATACGTATATATTATACACAATATATATGTATATATAACCAATCAATGGATCTGTAAACAGTAAAATAGAAATTGAAAATCCATCCTAAACCAAATCGACTGATCTCAAATTTATGGAGAACCAAATTGAAAACCCATAAAAACAATTGGTAAAACCCTTTATATATATATATATATTAAGATAGAGAAGATACCCAAATGGTTTTCTTTACACCACTGATAAGGACAGTACCATTGAAAGGTCGGAGCTTGATTACCCGTGAAGAAATTGTCAGTGTGGCGGTGGTGTTGAAGGTCTAAAAGTTGAGGGATATGGCAGAGGCTGTGAGGATGTGTGTTGTGTGGGAGAAGTCCTCGAGGAGACACCGGATAGTCTCGTCGTCGGACTTGTGGCCGAGCTCTCTTCTGGCTGCACACGCCGCCGGCATGCGTACTCTCCGGCCATGGCCTTCCACCTTAGCGTGGCGGTCCTTCGACGCCCTCGCCCTTGGTGATGTTGATTTAGATGGGTGGGCGGTGGAGGGGAAGATGGGCGGTGGCGGTGCCTCTGTGTGGTGTTATATATATATATATATATATATATATATATAGATAGATAGATAAATAGATAAATGAAAAGGGTAGTTTGGTTTTTTAATTATTTTGATATTTTATAATTAAAATTAATAAAATAGTGAAGGGTAAAATTGATTTTTCATATGTTTTAAGATTCTGTTTGGCTTGTAAATTTCATAAGGGGGTGTCATTGTTCCAAAATAAGGTAATTTATATCTGGGTGTCATTTTAGCAAACCTCAAGGGTGTTAGTGTACTTTATCCAAAAAAACAAAAAAAAAAAAAAAAAAAAGGCTGCTAATATTGATTATATTTCTAAATACTGCTTTTATGCTTCTAAGGTACCCCAACTGTTTAATATTCAAACGAACAATTATGCCCCTAACCGAAAAATAAAATAGACCCCCCCCCCCCCCCCAACCGATGTCACCAGCTGTATCATACTTTTGAGGCTACCATTTTCTCCATGTTGTTTTTGTTTCCATATATTTGCCACACTTTGTTACTAACTTGAATATTTGTAGATGAAAATATCAATCTTCTGAATTTCCATGGTCTACCAGTCCCACTTATATGGTCTACATTATTTTAGAAGTGGTGGTCAAATTTTATGTATTTTGTGCTACTTTTATTTTGTATGGTCTACATTATTTTATCATGAAAATTATTAATTTAAAGCTTCTAACTTATTGCTTTTCCTTTGTTGGTTGGCAGTTCTGTTTCAGATTATCAGGACAGCCACTGGTGGTGGGGCGTTGGCCCGAGGAAATGGGGTAGGAAGTTTTGTCGATAATGTGTCATCAACTAATGGCCAAGCTCTCAGCAATATCATTCTCTTCTTTGGAGCTCAGATTTCTGTTTGGTTACCTTCCCAGTAGCCAGTAAGTCTAATAGAGAGTTCATTCCGGTCTCAATGATGGCAAGGTTGGTGAGGTATGTTCTAATTTGCTCTAATACTTCAAATTTTCCCTTAAAGTTATTTCTCATATGCCATCAACTAATAGGCTTTTACTGGAAGTCAATTACCTATTATGATCCTTCATTGTTGTGTGTGGTTTGGTAATGTTTGGTTGAATTGTTTTCTTTTTTCTCTTCTTTTTCCCTTAAAGCTTGTCTATGTTTTGAATGGGGCATGTGGTGGAGCATGGACAGGCTTCTCATTGGAGGCCTTTCAAAATCTGTGGGGGTTTGTTAGGTTATCTCTCGCATCAGCTGTCATGCTCTGGTGAGTTTCTTGTGGATGTCAATTGTAGCCCATTATTTTAAATTTTAAATTTGAATCAAACACTATAGCACACCTCATCCGTCATTCTCTGGAAAAAAAACTTCTCCGTAATTTCATTGTCTTATTTGAAAGTAGGATATGAATAACGTGTGAGTCTACCACATTCCTCTTTCAGTGACTCCTTTTTTTACTTAAAAGTATATTACAAATTGCGCAAGAGTTCACTTTGTCATTGTTGCTTGATAAAGTTAAAAAATTAAGTTTTGAAAATTTTAAGTGCTGTATTTTTTAAGTGGTAGTTAAAAGTTGAGTCTTTTTTTGGATTTCAAATTTTCTACTACCATTACAAGTTTTCTGCTGCTTAGATATGTGGTATTTTGCGATTCCAGTTCTCTTGGCTGGATATTTAATGAATGAAGAGGATACTTAAAATGAGGCTTGGCGGTGTTTTGTAGGAATCAGCTTGTTATGAGAGAATTGGCATGGCGTTCTACTTGTGTGCAAAAAGACCCAAGGTTAGCTAATACTCTCTGCTTCTCTGGTTTAGTATGTGTCTGTGGAGGAAAGAACACTTGAAAGACCTTTCAGTATTTTTTGCTTATTTGTTTCTTAATACACAGCTCAAGGTAGACAAAATTAAGTTAATCGAACTCTGTGGCACATCAGAATCTGGATTTTCCAGTGTAAGAAGCACCCTAAGTTTCATATTTGTCATCTATTGTTCTGCACTATATTTTTCTTGGCTCTCTTATCATGTTTTATTGTCAAATTTGATCTGCAGGTCTCTACATCCATGAAGGACCTGTGTCGTGATGTTTTTGGAATATCAAAGGAAACGAAAGATCCAAGAGATGTGAAAGGGAACCGTGGCATGACTTGCTTTGGTTTTTTTAAGCTTACAACCTTCAAATGCATATTCCAGTGCTCTTCATGTGATTTAGTAATGATTATTACCTCTTTATAGTGTTTTTGGAAACTTAGACCTCATTTTCATCAATTCCTTCTGAAACTTGGCACCTGTACACAGAATTGCTAGATGCATTGCCTGAGAGAAGAACATTTGAGGATGATGGTTATTTGTCTGATGATGCAAAAGAGGTACTTCACAACAACATCATCTTTAATCTTGATTCTTATGATTTATTTGCTAAAGCACTTTTTTCAATTTTTTTTTTTTTTCTTTTGGCCATTTACTTTATAAAGCGTGTTCTTTTTGGTGTTAGTAGATGGTATCAGTACTAATCTTACTTAAGATATACCTCTCTGCCGGGAAAGTAAAGTACCAGGTGCACACGCCTGAGTTCCTGAGTAAGCTGCTAGTGTAGTTTGGATTGAGCCAACCTCCTCCCGAGGATGCTTAGGTGACTGTATTTTGATTGAGATTTGAGTTTCAGTATTGATGTCTTTTAATGAAATCCTTATCTCTTAAATACTTGCTTTATGTTGAAATATATGTCTTGTTAATGTAATGGATCTCAGTTTTATAAGCTTCGTGAAGTTTGATGAGTATATCTAACTCAGGAATTGCAGTGGAAACTTCTTTCCCGGAAGTTCTCCTTTTCATTTTTCAGCATTATTTGGTTATTTTAATTTGTGATTGCAATACATTCATGTGGCGAAGCAAAAATACTACTCTTTCAACATCTTTTGTAAAATTGAAATCTTGTACAACCGATTGTCATGAACCTGTGTGGCCCCTTTGACGGCTCCTATGTGGATGGGAATGACAAGGGAGAAACCCGGTAGTGGAGGATAGATTATTTTGGGGTTCCACTCGGTTTATTTTGAGCTTTTCACCCGGTTTATTTTGAGCTTTCTACATTGACGATGAATTAGCATGTGTAACTTTACAGGGATGAATGAAGGATATCAGAAGAATGCTTAAAACATTTACCCCCCTAAAGCAGTTTAATAGTTATGATTTTTCATACGAGTAACATGCATATGCGTTTAGGATCTGTGTATTCATGAATGGATTGTAGTACCGATATACTCGGTTTAAACTCTGCAGACTGCTGCTTTTTTCCTTCTCCTAGCTACTTTGAATCTATTATTTTTTGACTCACCTTGTGTTATGAAATAAAAAATGATCGAATAGAAGTTTACGAGAACAAGAGAAAATTAATAACAAGAAAAATAAAATAGGCACACACACAAATGAGACAAGGATTTACGTGGTTCGGTTATGTCTACGTCGACGGGGAGAAGACAGAACAATATTTCATTATGGAAATAAAGAGATACAAAGCAAAGTAATTCACACCCAAAATTCAGTTACACCTAAAATCTCTCTCACTAATTGATATTACAAACTCACTCAACTCAGATGATTTTGGATGCTTCAAACTATGGAGGGCAAGGGCTATTTATAGTCAAAATGGGACACCAAAATGAGGCTACTTGGTGACCACTCAAAAGACTTGCTGGGCACACATTCTTGGAGGCCAAGAATCTTGATGACATCATGGGTGATACAAGCCTCAAATTAAGCCATATGTTCAACACTTTGTGTCTGGGATTATGTAATTCAATTGTTGTCAATGCATGGTATTGTGCTGATCTGATGGTTGATTCTTATTTCTCATTTGCTTTATCCAGTTCCTAGCAAGGGGACTAAGCAAACTCGACTCAACTTTGCAAAAGAGGCTCCTGAAACCCAAGAAGTGGGTGCTGTGTGAGGGGCATTGTTCTTCTTCTGCCATCGAGTTTTTGTTTGTTTTGGTGCAAGTGCTCACAAGGAGAAGAGAGATTATGGAAATACACCGGTTTTTCTATACTTCTGAAAAAACACAACTTTTTTAGGGTTGATTAATTTGTTCTAATGGTGTTTTTATCAAATTCTATGTTTTGCGCAAATTATGGTGGTGCCTTGATTTTCAAAATTTGAGCCCTGCGTTGAACAACATTGTACAGAATGCAAATTACTGTCCATACATTACATTATATTCATTTAAATATATGGTTATAGCCTTTAAAAATAAGTGTAATTGGATCGGGTTTATTTAGTTAGTAAATTTGGTTGATGAATGAATTGATGTTGATTATAAAAATTTGAATTTTTTTAAAAAAATTCATTCATTTAAATATATTGTCATAACCTTTAAAAATAAGTTTGCAGCATTTATATTTGTTGCCATATGTTTTCTTATATATGACAGCAGATACAATTGCTGTTATGCCTATCGCAACAAAGGTTATAACAACAAATACAAATGCTGACATAAATGTTGCCCAGTAGTTCTGGCAACATTTTTTTTTTAACTTTTGACAGCAAATAAAAGTGCTGGTAGAGAGGATAAATGTTGTAGTGTCGATACAGCTTTTATTCGCTTGTCGACGGTCCCTTGTTGTACACACACTTGTTTGCTGTTACAGAATGCTTAACCCTGCTCTTCTCCTTCTCATGGCCAGCGTCATCCTTGAGCTTTTCGATCATAGTTTGGAGAGTATTAGGATCTGGCATAAAAGATGATGATGACAATGGCAGGTAGGAAGGGGGAAGTACTGAATGTGGGGATGATGGACTCCCCTTGCAGTAAGGCTCCCCAAACATCTCAGAAACACGATTGCCCTAGCTCATAGGATATTCCGGATTCAGACTTTGTCCGTTGGAATGGCAACCCCGTGAACTTTGGTTTTTGAGATGCTTGGTGCTTCAAGATTTCGTCAAGGCTAGAGAATCTGTAAGTTTCCATAGTTATTTGGTTCTCAAGTAGCTAGTATAACAAGGACCACAGAGAACAGATGGTGAATGAATGTAGACGTACTAGGAGGGAGGGAGAGTTTAAGCTGCCATTCTCAAGATATAACCAGGATCTACAAGAGGAAAGAAGGCGAATGAGTTTGGTGTTACGGGCTATGTGCATGGTGTGTGTATATATGGGGAGAGAGAGAGATGATTGGTTAATTCAAGTCTTCGGAGAATTATACAGCTAAGAAGATGGAAAACTAGCATGCATTTTGGCCTTATTACTGCGGCTCACACTAAAAGCTTTCAGAGACTGCTACATTAGTTATCAAAACCACTATATCTCACTTATATAATCATATCTATGGATGTGTATGTCACGTGTGTGTGCGTGTGTGTGTATATAATATTATGTATATTATATAACAACTATATCACACTTTTTTTATATATATGATATGTACAAAATCATTATCTCACATTAATTTTAGTAGCTAGCTCACATTAATTTTAGTAGCTAGCTTTTACGTAAATATAGACAAGGTAGTTTAATCAATAAGCTAAATGTTCATAATTGTACTTCTATATATTATTGTTTATTGAAATATTGCCAACTATGATGCTTTCTGTATTTGTTTAAATACTATTAAAGAGCAGAATTGCATTTCTATGATTATTTGTGGCAGTTTGTGAGAAGAGTCGGGATTCTTTGCAGAATTGTTGTGGGCTGCAGTTTGGAAACGGTCCGGGTACTATATTAGTAGAAGATCCGAATATCTAAAAAAAAATATATTAAACTTTTCGAATCTTTGTAAATAGATTTGCTGGACAATTGCACCCAAATCTGTTCAATTAGTTGAATTTTAACCATTGGATTGAGCATTTATTCTAAGAGTGGCAAAATAGGTTAGAAATCATCAACCCATCCATATCCACCCGTTTTTTAATGGTTATAGGTGAACCATATTTAATTTAAAGGTTAAGATGAGTTAGGTAATTTTTAACCACTTAATTTCCCATACGTCACCCATCACATAATAAACACATAACACACATCTATTCTATATTACACTCAACTCATTTCTTTCTCTCTCTCTCTCAAATTCTCTCACTCATAATCATCTATCTAAACGAGTCTCTCATCAAATAGTCACGAGACTCTCCATTTGAAAAAGATAACAAGAGTTCACGTGACGGGGTATTGAACCCCTCCACGTGAACAGCCAGTGTAAGAGAGAGACGAGAGTCGAACCCCTCCATCCAAGGAGTTGCACAGGAATCGACGGAGCAACTGGTTATACCTTAGCTGCTGAGGATTCTAACATAATTCGACCACCTAGGGAAATAATTGGACGTGATTGTATGCTTTTGATGTGTTTGTATTTGTAAAATTATTACAATAAAAGATTTCTAGGGAAATTTATTGCTATTGTGTTGGTGAAAACAATTATAAATTACTTTTGGAAAGTAATAGCATTTGTAGTTTATTTGTTTTTATTACCTTGTGTTTCTATATGCTAACCTGGATTAATTTTTTTATTTTCATTATAACAAGGCATAGTGGATATTCTTAATATTGAAACACGGCTACCCGGAGCTGTGATTTGTCTATATAAACATGGCATACAGAAGACAGCCATAATTTTATTAATTTAAATACACTGAAGCAGGGGTTAGTGGATTCCCAGCCCATTTTAAAAAATTAAAAATAAAAAATTTAAAAATAAAAAATAATTAATGAATCTACGGATCATAACAGGTTGACCCGCCCATTTTTAACCCGTTTATTTTCAACCCGTTCTGAACGGGATTGAATATGGATCTTGACCCATATTGACTAGTTCATTTTTAACCCAATTCAAACCCTATCTAACATGTTGTAACTGTTAGGTAAGGCTGCATACCCACCCATTTATACCCAATCTCTTTTCCATTCGATTCCGATGTGGGACAAAATGACCCCGATGTGGGACAAAATGACCCTTGTTACATTCTCCCCCATCCAAACTCGCAACGCCCTCATTGCGGTTGGGCCACCCTGCCTACCCGGGTGGACTCACCCGGACGCCTTCCGGGCCGGGCGCGTGGCCTACCCGGGTGGACTCACCCGGACGCTTGGCGTGACACCAGATCAAGGACTGGGTCTGGCTCTGCTACCAACTGTAACGGGTGGGCGCTTGTCCATTTACCCAAAAGCTCGAACTGTTAGGTAAGGCTGCATACCCACCCATTTATACCCAATCTCTTTCCCATTCGATTTCGATGTGGGACAAAATGACCATTGTTACACATGTCCATTTGCCACTCCTAATTTATTCATACTTCTAACGGCTTTTTTTAGAATATATTTAAGAGACGGTTATTCTTTCCATAAAGGGAAAAATATCAGGCCAATTGTGTTGATTGGCAGCAATCAAATGTCCCGTTACGCTACAAGAATTTGGAGCGTGAATACAAGTAGGAATTGTATCATTTTATATCATGATGTTATTCTTGTAGCGTGAATACAAGTAGGAATTGTATCATTTTATATCATGATGTTTGATGATGTTGGGAACATTAAGAAATCTCAATAAGAGAAACATAGAAGCTAAAAACAAATTTTCAGCCTTCATGTGCCATGAATATATATATATATATATATATATATATATATATATATATAATGTAGAATGAGACCATACATGTGGGTGGAAGGAATGTGTTACAACATTACTCAAATATTGTTAAAGGTGACATGATAAATATTCATACATACAAATATTGTTAAGAGTTAAGTTTATTTGTTAAAGTGAAACAATTAAAGTTATTGATATTTTAATATTAAAGTGAAACAATTAAGGTCATTGAAATCAAATTTAACTTTAAGCCTTCAATGACCTTGACTGTTTCAGAAACTAGTATTCTTCAATATCATTTTTGTAAATTATTTTTTATTTTATTTTTACTTTTTTTAAACTATGGTTGAATTATTTGATGGAGTTACCTTCACACGGAGAGAGCCGGTTTGTGCCTAGGGGAGCTGCCCCAAGCACATGCTTGTTCATTAAAAATATATATTTTTTGAAAAACACATTTTAGGGGCATAGTGATTTTTTCATACTCCTCATATAAATTTACATTCCCTTTCTCCAATTAAATTATAATTTTTCATTCTCTTCTCTCTCTCTCTCTATATATATATATATATAAACACTAAAGAAAACACTAAAAGAGATTTTTATTTAAAAAAAAAAAAAACTGACAAAAGTATTTGTTGGACTCCACCTACACGCAAAAAAAGAAATCGTTTTTTTATGAGAGCCCTCTCATCATGAGGGCACAAAATGAAATATGCAGGAGACACTTTAAGAGTTCTATACATCCACATACGAGGAACCTGGAGGGAGAAATATACATCTTCACACACACACATACATACATATATATATATATATATGCGACTACCAAAAAGATTATGAGATGTGCCATATTTGCAATGCTCAATACCCAATGTAAAAATATCACTATGAACCATATAACTTGCATAAAAATAGTCAGAATTCTAAATTCCGAGCACATGGGTTGCAACAGATGAAAATCTTGGCTCGCACGCACAGATGAAGACTCCATCATCCCCGAGCACCCCTTACATCATAGGAATAGATGCATGGAGGCCTTGATGATGTCTACATTGTAAATATAGTCATGAAAGAGGTTTGCAATTAGCAGTGTTATCAAAGGTCCAAAGTGCATAAGCACTAGAGGTCCTCTAAAACCTATCCACAAAGTAAATTACTATTAAAGCATTCATGTTCCATATTAAACGGGCAAATGTTGTCGCAGGCGAGCCCGGGCGCACAACAAGCTCAAGTCAGACTTGAGCCTTGCCTTTGACAACACTAAACAAGACTACCAAGAAAAAAAAAAAGAGTCATACCGCAGAATTACCTTTTACAGACAATTTCATAGACCAATTCCCAATATTGTGAACCAATTAGTATCTAATCAAAGACTTTAAGAAACAGACAAGACACTGTACCACGAAAGTTAAGAAACAACACATAATTCAGATTTTAAGTTTTAACAAGAGCAGGTCTACAATTGCCACCCATACAAGGGGATTGACATGTCGATAATATCCATACAAGCAGCCATGTTGTAGAGCATGCACAAAATCATCATCAAACTGAAGCTACTGATTTCTGGGAACGGGCTCGAGAGCTTCAACTGTGACCACACTATTCCCTCGGATAACCTGAATGAACACATTAATCAGTCAAAAAGATGGAACAATTTGAATAAACATAGAAGGGTTGGTCACTCTTGTATAAACCTCTAATTCATTCATTTACCAAATGAAGCCCTTAGCAAAAAAGGAGAATTGATTCCATCATTTCACCGAAAAGAAAATTGGAAAAACGTTGCAATTGTACCACTGGGTGGTTGGCCTTATTGGAATAACCTCTCCTCCCTCAAAAAAGGGGAGGTGAGGGGTTGGAGCCCCATGGTGGGCATTTGTAGATGTTTGTGAGTATATACCAGGGGAAAAAACAAAAAAAGAAAACTGCAGTTGTAATTACCATTCAGTTTTCCCAATGAAATGATAGTTTCACCCATGTGAAAGGGACAAGATGATAACCGAACAAATCAGGGAAGTTTATCCTATAGAGGAGCCAAACCCAAAAAGTCAAAAAAATTCAAACACAAAAATAAGGGTAAAGAGCATTGACTCACCACCATGCCAATATCATTCCTCTCATTCCCATTAACTTCTACAGTGTTGTCAATCACCAAATTCATAAACTGATCAAACCCGCGAAGAGTCCCAACAACCATCCTGTTTGCATTCAACTTTACTGCAATAAAGAAGCCAGTTCGAATTATTGAGAGTTCTAAAGCAACTGAATGACAAGCCATACACACAACACAGGAATTTAGTGCACATTGACATCTCTCCGCATTCCTGAACATAAAATCTTTTTAAAAGTCAGCCTGTATCCATCTTCATTGTAGACAATGATTCAAGTTCAATACCTAAAGTTCAACAGGACTTCTGTAAAATCCATTGTGCATGAAATAGATTAAGCCCAAAAAACAACCTAAAAAACAACAGTTCAATGCTAGACTCGTGGAAAAATGTAAATTTAGGTAGACCAACTCAAATTTTAATTTAAGCTGTGTCACTGAGATTGAATCCCACCAAAAGCCTCCACATTTATGTTTAAGCAGACCAACTCATATCATTTAAATTTAAGCTGTGTCACTGAGATTGAATCAATATATTATGTTTACACTATAATACAGTATCATTACTTATTATTTGCTAAACTTATTCTTCTAATAACTTGTTATTGGTATAACACACATGTATATATGTACCCAATAAATATTAAAAAAAAAAAAAATTATTCTTCTAATAACTTGTTACTTGTTATTTGTATAATGCACATGTGTATATGTACACAATAAATATTAAAAAAATAAATTAAAATGTATTCTTCTAATAACTTGTTATTTGTTATTTGTATAAGCCATGTATATATGTACATATAAACGACAATTTTATAGTATAAAAAAAAAAGAGAGAGTACACGCTAACAAAAAAAAGTTAACAATTACTTACTCTGGAGCTTCTTGTCCATGTACCTGTTGGAGGAAAAAAAAAACGAAGAAGACATCAATATATGAGGAACTGATGGTGAGAAAAAAACAAAAAAAGTGAAGCAGAGCAACGATTGAAAGGTCTTACTTCTTCAGATCCGGAGGCTGACCCGACCGGCTCATGATTCTGATTGACGGTTGAAGCACTGACTGTTGAAGGAGGAGGCGATAGACTGTTGAGGGAGGAAAAGGCGATAGAAGAACGGAGAGAGGGTTTTGTAGAGTTCTGACTGTTGAAGGACGAGGAGGCGGCGATAGAGAAACGGGGAGAGAGGGTTTTGTAGACTTGTGTTCGCAATACTGATTTGATGGGATTAGGATTAGGGTTTGGATTTGGATTTGGAAACAGGACTTACCTTGTTTGGTATCATTAGATTATAGGGTTAGGGGCACTAACCCCACCTATGAGCTGATTGCACTTGAGGACAAGCCGTCAGCCAATGATTAACAGAAAAGGCAAATTGCACTTTAGCCCTACATTGAACGACATCGTCTTAAGTTATTTTATATTGCTAAAATGTTTATGTATCGATATAATCTCCGGAGCCAATAAAAAAGTGACAACACAACAACCTAAATCACCAACACGCTCATTATAATAAAAACGAGCAAACAACCCCTATCTGACCGGTATCCAATTTCTTGACCCAATTTTCTCTCTTCCTCTTCACATGCATGATAAGAATAAGCCCAACTCTGTTAGAAGTATTGACTCCATCAGAACTCCATGATGTTCTGCACATCCTCAGATTGCATTTTGATATTAATTCAGATCCAATTATTTAATAAAATAAAAAGAATAATAACAAAACCCAATCCCTTTCTGGCTCTACATCCCCTCTGTCTCTGTCTCTCCCTATATATGTATGCACCCCCTTGTTATTTTACTCTGTATGTGACTCTAGTTTTTTTGGCGTACCAAACCCTCAACATTCATCAATTACATCAGTTGTGAACATTCATCAATTGCATGTATAGTATGATGTATATATTACAGGGTTAAGTGCAAAAAAACCTGATATATAGACTTTGTGCCGAACAAGTCCCTACTTTTTGAAAAAGTGTATGCAAGTCCACAAAATTCAAAAAAGGTGCATAACCGGTCCCTCTGACAACTTTTTACAAAAAGTAAAACTTAAAACCCCATTTTACCCTTTTGTTTCCCATTTTGCCCCTCACCATTTGTGCATAAAAGTCCCTCACCCCTAAACCCAATTTAGCATTTGTGCATGAAAGTCCCTCACCCCTAAACCCAATTTGTGCCGCTGTTTCTATTGCTGATCTTTTCTTGGTGCTCTCTCCAAAAATGAGATTCTTGTTTCCCAACATGTTAAACATGATTTCCACAAGCCAAAAATCTTGACTATTTTGAATACACTAATTTTTCTGCCAAATACGTTGTACCCTTCGTTTTCAGGGTCTGCCTGAACTTCAATTTCATTTTTTTCACACTTTTGGGTATTCAGAATTGGTGTTCTAGTTATCATTCATTTAAAGAAACTTTCCACTCTAATTAAGTCACTAAAAACCAAAAAAAAACATCTAGAACAGGTAGTTTTCTGATCACGAAGCAGAGGTGCCTTTAATCTGTGGAGTACCCTTTTAATTTCTAGGGTACCTTTGTTGATACTGGATGCTATTACATGGGCCTTCATGAATATGTGAATCATCTGAAGTTAATTTCTTTATAGAAGTCTAAAAATCCATTGTGAAGCATATGGTTTTGGCATTTTGGGTCAACACTGGTCTTCTTCCCAGTTTATAAAGTTTGAAGCTTAAACCATGAAATTCATTGCCACAATGTGTAATACCCCTAATTTTAAAAAAAATATTCCTGGTATTTAATGGTATTTAATTTATTATTTAAGTGCATTTTATTTGATTATGTGTCATTATTTTTTTTATTAGGTGCTTAATTGTTTTCTTTTGTGGTGATTTAATTTATTTCTTTTGTGGTGATTTAATTTATTTAAATGATATTTATTTTTAGTTATTTGATTGGAATTACTTGTTAGTGTTTTAATTATTTAAGTGGCATTAATGGTTTAAGTGTAATTGGTTTAGTTATTTGATTGGAATTACTTATTAGTGTTTTAATTATTTAATTGGCATTAATGGTTTAAGTGTAATTGGTTTAATTATTCTATGTGTGTCTTATTTTATGTGTGTCTTATTTGGGTTTAATTGGGTTTACTAATTATTTTTTTGTTCAATTAGATTATTTGTTAAGTATTTAATGGTGAATAGGGTAATTAGGTAAATACATCTAACTAGGGTTTTAATTACAGTATAAATTAGGGTTTTATATTATAGCCGTCGTAGGTTTCTACGTTAATTGCATGGGCCGGTTAGGATTGTGAGTTGGACTTAAATGAACCTAGGGTTTAGGAAAACTCTATAAGTATAAGGTAGACGTCTGTGTAGGGTTTTTTTTAAACAAAGCACACGTTTTGTGGAAGTGGAGAAGGAAAAACGCAGTTTTTCACATTCTGCCAAGGTTTGATCAAAGCTCCGATCCCGCTTCGTCCGTGGTCCGATCGAGCTTAATTTTGGAAGAAAGGTTCAAGACTCAGTGACGCACAATCTGAACGGTGGAGATCAGAGTTTGACCTCGGGAACAGTGATTCGTACTCATGAACAGTAACTGGGTCGCACAGGTTTTTTCCATTCTGCCCAGATTTCATCAAACATCCGATTCTGCTTCGTCCGTGGTCCGATCGAGCTGAATTTTGGAGGAGAGGTTCACAACTCAGTGACGCACAATCTGAACGGTTGAGATCAGAGTTTGACCTCGGGAGCAGTGATTCGTACTCGTGAACAGTAACTGGGTCGCACAGGTTTTTTTCCATTCTGCCCAGATTTCATCAAACATACGATCCCGCTTCGTCCGTGGTCCGATCGAGCTGAAATTTGGAGGATAGGTTCTGACTTAGTGTCGCACAATCGGAACGGTGGAGATCAGATTTTGAGTTCGGGAATAGTGTTTCGTACCCGTGAACAATAACCGGGTTTTGGAACTCGCCGGGATTTTTTGAGAAGACGACGTTGAAACTTTGAACAAAAGTTTCTGAGGCAAGATTCTATCCTTACTCTTTCCCTTAGGCTTCATACTCTTTGCACTCTTAAATGATTTCAGGATTAATGAAGATTAAACCAAACTAAAATGATATCTGTTTTGCTATGAAACTGGTAGTTACAGTAGTGTTGTATGCTTGTACAACCTAGACTAAGCATGTTTGTGGATGCATTGTGGTTCTGTGGTTCACGTTTTCCCTTACCACTGCTAGTATAAATTATTGGAAGGATGGGTCTAGATGATAGCTATCTTAACTTCTGTAATAGCAACTGTTGGAACTTAAATACTAGGAGGATTTGAGTTTAACACTAGATCGGTTTTGTGGAACACTATAATTTGAGCATGTCTACATACATACTGTGAATATTGTTTTGATACTTACATTATCACAGTTAGTATCAACTGTGGAGGTTAGGATTTTGTGATACATACCTTACATATCTGTATGTCATTTGTAAGGTGTTAAATGGAAGTTTTAATTAATTCTGTCTTTATATCAGACTAAAGGGAACAACTTAAATTGGGCATGTATATGTTGTTGTTGTGACCCTGTTTATCAATGCTTATTTTATCACTGCTAACATTGAATGTTGGATGTTGGAATTTAGTTGATATATACTTGATTTATTGGTATTATTGACTACTGGAGGATTGGAAAGTAGGCACCGGTATAGGACGGTGGCATACTAAGGATGGGTTTGGTTTTTAAAACAATACCATTACCCACCTACTTGGAATAAGGATGGGATTAACTAAAAGTTAAGTCCCGTGGATTTGTATTGTCATGGCAACTACTTGTTGAACGGTAATACCGGGGATTTTGGATGGATTTTATATATGTACTGTTATGGTGCCTCGGTATGAGCTTGAGCCTCAGGACCGATGGTTAGGGAGCGTATATGCATCGGGATGTGTAGCTGGCTATGATGGTTGGAGGTGTACCCTGTTTGGGTATAGGTACATATGCCCACTTCGTGTGCTTTTTAGCATGTTACCTCTATTCAGGTTGAGACCGGCCTGTAGTCCAGTGAGAGTCCTTTAGTGTGACTATATATATATATTTACGGACTATTAGCTATTGTTGAATTGTTTAGGATATACATGCGTATCGGGCCTCTGTTTGGATTGTAGTAGTATAGAACTTGCGCGTGGGCCTGACCCACTTCTATTTTTCAGGTACACGACAGTTCCAGGCTTAGACGTGTTCGTGCTGAGCAGAGGTCTCTATTCACTCTTCCGACGATGTAGGGCTCTCTCTATAGTTTTATTTCTGGAAGTTTATTACAGTTGTTCTATCTTCCGTTTGGGATGTTTAATAGGGGTCCACTAGAGATGGATTCCCAAGTTGTAAACTGATGGAGTTTTGGAGTTTAGGTTTGATGGATTTTAATAATTATAATATTTTGCAGATTCTATTTTTAGTTCCTTCCAGCTTTAATTTCTTTTTTTAATTTATTTTGTATTCCGTGTTCATTATAAAATATTAATTGTTTGATATTCCCTCGGGTTTGGGCCTGGGCCTGATCAACCCGTGTCTTGGATCCGAGGGGTATCTCAGTTGGTATCAGAGCACTCCAGGTTCAAGTGTCTCTAGGATGTTTTCGTATTACGTCTTCCGCGTAGCGTTTTCTCTTGAATAGAGCTTAAGTTAGGATTCATTGTATTCCTTATGGTTCGTATAGAAAGGGTACTGACGTCTGTCTTTTCATGTTAACAGATGGTTAACGCTAGAAATGGACAGAACATGCAAGGAACTAGGAAGGAAAGGAGAACGGCACGTAGGCAACAATATCTCCTATGGCATCAGCAAATGGAGGAAGAACAGCAAAGGCTTGGGTTTCAAGATGACATGGATCAGTTTCGGGAGGAACAGGAGAATGTTCAACAGACTCTGGACCAGGTCAGAGATCCAGAGATTCCTCCTCACCTCAATGACCTCGTTGCTCGGGCTATAGAGGCTGGGGTAACAGCTGCACTTCGGAATCAGCCTCAGGTACAGCCGGCACCTGTACCAGCACCAGTGGTTCAGACGGATTCTTGGGGAAAGGCTTGGACCTCTTTCACAAAGGGGAGTCCACCTGTGTTCTCAGGCTCAACCGATGCGAGAGCAGCTCACCAGTGGAAACAGGACATTGAGCGTCATCTTCATTTGGTTCAGTGCATAGAGGTTCAGAAGCAGATGCTTGCTACTTTCAAGCTATTTGGGGATGCACTACAGTGGTGGGAGTCAGTTACCACCTCAGAGGAGAGGATGACGTTGTCTTATGATGAGTTCAGTGCTCGCTTTGATGAGAAATATTTTCCCTATGCAGTCAGA